TTGGTATCATATCAACAACCAATGTTGATTTTTTTTTAGTTATTTACAGAGTTTTCTTTGGTTACAATAATTGAAACCATATATTCATAAAAGGGATTTAGCAAAAAATTTAGAAGTTGAGACTCCATATTTTTTAATGATTTGATATAAAATATAAATGAAAGTAAATTTGGTCAAATTTGCTTTGCTCCTGGGAGAATAATATAAAAGTTAAATCACTCCTACACTGCATCCAGGGGATTGCATAACATGGGGCAAAAACTAGAACACAACTTGAACACCAGAGACCAGCACGGACCATACCATAAGGGACAGTGAGAGACTCATGCTTCATTAGGCTGGAGGTGGGTGGAGAGAAATACCTGGAGGTTCTGGTCCCTGGGCAGGAGAATCACAGTTCTGCCACCTGGCCCGGAGCCCTAGAGAGAGGAGAGTTGGGCAGTGTGAAGGCACACAATGGTCTCAACCTTGAAATTATCTACAAAAAGAAATAAAAACCTCAAGACAAATGACAATGAAGACATCAAACACCAGAATCTGACATAACAAAAGCAGTATGAAGAGGAAAGTACATAGCAATACAGACCCACATGAAGAAATAGGAGCTCAAATAAGTAATCAAAACCTTAAGGAATAGAAAAGAACAAATAAAACTGAAAACTGGTATAAGGAAAGAGATAATAAAAATTAGAGCAGAAATTAATGAAATAGAAATTTTCAAAGTCCAAAACTTCAATAAAATCAAAGGTTGATTCTTTGATAAAAATAAGCAAAACAGACAAATCCAAAGCATGTACAGATTTAATACAATCCCTATTAATGCATTGTTCAAAGAATAGAACAAACATTACTGAAATTTACATGGAACCAGCCTCATGGTATGGGCCAGGATGATGACTTCAGGTGCACTGTTTCCCAGTCTGGTGCAAGGCTCCGGTGGGGTCCTCTAATGAGTATCTGGTGGAGCTTCAGGCAGGAAAATGTCATTAAAAGGAACTAGTGTCACCCCCAATAAGCTGAAAGGGCTGCTGTTCATCCAACAGACAGTCAACTCCTTCATTCACTTGTGCTGCAAAGACGGGACTTCTGGGCACGTGAAAGATGACCTGATGATCTTTGCCGATGACATGAGCGAACTCAAGTATGTGCCTTATTGTTCGCAGTGGTGGTTCCAAGCAGCATTTCTTCTGGATGCAGGAGCCCAAGATGGAGCAGGAGAGAAGCACTACTGCAAAGTCAATGAGTATTGACATCACTCATGGCTAGAGCACTAGGGTCAGTGCAGGCAGCCCAAAACCTCTCCACCCTGGGTGGGGAGAGCAGACTCCAAAGCCTGTTGGGGAACATAAGCCACAGCATACAGTTCATTCATCCACCAGCCTGGAGACTAGGTCGACTTTGGGTCTTGACTGGGCCAGGCCTGGCCAGCTCACTGGGGAGAGGTCCTCAAGCAAGCAGCTCTTCATTCAGCTTTCGGATCCAGTTGGCAGCAGTCACCCAGTCCTCCACTGTCTTTCCTGCTTGAGCCACCTCAGCCCTTCTGTTTTAGCAGCTGCCATGGCAACTGACTCTAGCCCTGCACCCAGTGTAAGCAAAGGAGCCAGCACAGCAGCCAGCCCCATTCAGCTAAGTGACCTCCAGAGCATTCTAGCCCCTATGAATGTAACCATCTAGGCCAGAAAGTAGTCAGCAAATTGAAATGGCCAGTGTTCTGACACTAGAGATCATGGGACCTATCCTCACCTACATGGATGTGCAGAAGCAAATGCTGTCCTATCTGCCCTTTGAGGAGGTCTAGAACACACTGACCTCACCCCAGTTACAGCAGGTTTGGGCATGTTCAGTGCAGCTGTGGCCTTTGGGCAGCTGGGTCCCCATCATGTGCCAGTCTGGCCTGCCCATAGAGGCTGTGGAGGCTGCCAGGAAGAGTGATGCTGAAGTATTTGCCTAAGCTTTGTAGAACAGTGCCAGATCTGAGTAAGAGGAAGGCATCTGCAAGGACAAGAGGTATGAAGAGGAAGACAGGAGCTTAGATTAAATTACTTGCTGTCTCTTACGAGGCAGGTCTCTTGCATGTGTGATTTCAGAAGTAGCACTGTAATCTCTTGTGCCCTTGTGTCTGTTGCATCTTAATCTTAAATAAAAATCTTATCTACCAAAAAAAAAGGAAAAATTATGTAGAACCACAAAAGACTCCAAATAGCCCAAGCAATCCTAACAAAAGAGAAGAGAGGTATCATGTGCTAAGAATTCAAACTATACTACAAAGCTACAGTAATAAAAATACTAGGGTATTGGTACACTGATCAAAGGACTACAATTAGAGCCCCAGAAATAAATCCACGCTTACACAATTATGACAAGGGAGTTAAGATTATACACTGGAAAAAGAAGTTTCTTCAACAAATGACTGTGGGAAAACTAGAAGGCCACATGCAAAAGAGTGAAGCTACATCACTGTCTTGCATCATAGATAAAAATTAACTCAAAATGGATCAAAGACTTAAATAAGAACTGAAGCTATAATTTAACCTACATGGAGAAAAATAGGAAAAACTCAGTAATGAATTTGCAGACTTGACTATGACAGCAAGAGAAACAAAAAAGAAAATTAAACAAATGGGATTACAACAAACTAAAAATATGTGTGCACAACAGAAAGAAATTATAATTAAAACAGACATCCTACTGAGTGGGAGAAAATACACATCAGACACATCACACACACATAATATCCAGTATTTAAAACAACTCAGTCAACTCGGCCCCCCCCCACAAAAAAAAAATCCAATCAAAACATGGTCAGAAGACCTAAACAGATACTCCTCCAAAGAAAACATACAGATGGCCAACAGGTACATGAGAAAAATGCTCAACACACTTATCATCAGGTGATAATGAGATACTATGTCATACTTACGAGAACATCCCATATCAGAAATGCCAGAAACAACATGTGTTTGTAAGGGTATGGAAAAAAGGAGCATTTGAACACTGTTTGTGGGAACGTAGAGTGGTCTAGCTGTTGATAAACAGTATGGAGAGTTCTCAAAGAAATTAAAAATAGATCTACTATAAAGTTCATCAACTTCACTTCCAGGCGTCTACCTGAAGAATGCAAGAACACTAATTCAAAGGAATACATGCACGTCTAAGTTCATGCAGCACTATTTACAACAGCCAAGTTACCCAAACAATCTAAGTGCCCAAGGACAAATGAAGAGATTAAGAAGATGTAGTAATTATTTGTTCTGTTTATCTATTTCTCAGGCATAAAAAAAGATGAAATATTGCCTTCTATGACATGGAGGGAATTATGTTATGTTAAATAAGCCAGAAAGAGAAAGACAAAGACCACATGGCTTCACAGACAACACCAAAACAAAAACAAACCCTCGAAATCTGACTATAAGTCTGCGGCTAGCATGGAGAGGTAGAATGGACCACAAGTATCTTGGCGGTGGGCGTAGAGTGACAGTACACATCTGGAGACACGGGTTCTGATGTTTCTGAATCATACAGAGCTGTGAAGCAAAGCTACCCCTGTAAAAACATTTTTATTTTTTAAATAATGAAAGTCATCTTCCCTCCACCCAATCCTTGGTGAAACTTCCACAAAATTACAATAATTATGTTCAGATTTAATGTTCATTTCAAGGACTAGAGACAGATAACTTCCAACTGAGGACTTAGATCTGAACAAACTATTTCTCCCCAAAAGAACTCTCTGGTCTGCATCTCACTTGTATTCTGTGTACATGGCCTGGAGGAGTGGACATTTCTGTTCTCTGACGGCTGCAATAGGAGCACTTAAAGTTTTCAAAGTTCCAATCTTAACTTGGTTTATGTTAGTTATTTCTATGCCTAGATACCAGCCATGGCATTTTCATGTAACTGAAGCTGGTAAGTAATTTTTTATACACAGACTTGCCAGTCATAGAAATTTGCTAGATTAGAAAGATCCCTGAGTTATAGGACACATGTAAGGCAGAATGCCATGACCTCCAGGGACCAAGATGTGTGGTCATTTTATACACAAGAAATGTGCTGAGGTTACTGCTTTATTCAAGATAAACTTTCAGGCCTCCACATTAGTCCTTTTCAACCCTTCTGTGAAAAACCTAGGCTCAGTTCTCTGGCCTAAAGAGCCTTTTCACCACCCTTTCTAGTGCCACTGGTAATACAGACAGGGCCGTACGTGTGAGTTTGTCAATATTTCTGGAATGCCGGGGAGCCTTCAGGGTTGATCTCATTCAACCTCCAGCTGCCCAGGAGTCTGTCTTCTTTCCTCCTCATTCAGGTCACCCTCAAGGATGCTGCAGCCCTCCTTGCCTTTTCTATAAATGCCCCTACTAACATTGTACAAACTTAGTTGTCCACATGCTTCAGTTTTGTCCCCAAAATTATATTGATAAACTGTGTCAGTCCAAAAGGGCCCCATGAATCATTTAATCCAATTCCCTCACTTTAGAGGAAGAGACATGGTAGTTGCTAAAAAAAATTGGTTAAAGGTAGAACAAGAATAAGTACCAATGACTAAGTAGTACCAACTCATACTAGCTAAGAATTGTTGATTGTCCAGTGGGATCACTTAGTGGTTTACTTAGCCCACAGACCAGTGGCTCTCACTTTTTATGTAGGTCTTCCACAAAAGGTTCTTGTTTTAACACCTCAATTATTTCTGCCAAGGGATAGTATGGTAGCCATGCTGTGCTTGCGTAATGACTTTTTACTCTTTGGATAACAAGACAATTCTCCTTTCCAACGTCTCATGGCTTTTCCACCATGGATTCCAGGGATCATCCCTTTCTTTCTTTTCTGAAATAGTGTACAACTCAGGGAAAGTTGTGGCTTACTTTTCCTGGTACCTTAGGTGCCACAGAAAGCAATGTCTCACAAATAAAGGATTTCAGAGTCACAGATCTCTTTCTTCAAGATTTGAGCGTGGGATGCAGTTGAACAACAAACACAAAGACTGGAGATGTCAAACCAAGGTCCATGCATTCATTTATTTCTCATTGCAGCAACAAGATCAATAAGCATAATTCCATGTTAAAAAGAGTTACAGATGGTAGTAAGCCCAGGAACCTTGAATATCTCCATAAGGCAAAAAAACAAATACTTTTCATAGTGTAAGCATCAGACTTTAGATGATCTGAGAAAAGTCACTCCAGACCCCAAATACCAGGACTGATGTGCAAAATCAACTTATCAAGTATTTTCAAACCTAAAAATAAAACACATTAAGTACAAATACTTTAACAAAATTGGAAATACAGATAGGACACCAAGAATATCCTCAGCCAATTGTTCTCCAAACAAAAGGTCAAGAAGAAAACCATAAACAAAAACAATGCAAAAAGGAAACAGTTCATTTAGAAAGCCTAGGTACCAATCAGAATCACATCTCTTCTTCTGATTCTTGTTCTCGTTCTACATTTTTCAAAAGTCCAACTTCCGAGGGGCAGAACCTCTTAAGCCGCGTTTTAACCAACCTAAGAAGAATGAAAGACATCTCATGTTATGGTGTTTAAAATAAGAGCCCAGAGCAACATATATCTATAGTTAACAAACTCCAAATTATCTGTGCAGTGGCAGAGGTCATCTGAAATAAAGAAAAAACACTTGCATGTGGCTCTGCAATTACCTGAAAAATTTTGGTGGCTTTAAGCAGAAGCAGAGGATAAGTAAAGAGATACAGCATGGTTTTATTAGGTAGAAGAAGATGTCTATTATTTAAAATTTCAATAATTTCTAAAACAAACAGGAGCATCCCTGGGTAAGCCCAGGTGAAAATGAGCTCAGCCAAGTTTCTCTCTCAAGTTCTGCACTTAACTGCATAGTACAAGAAGGAGGACTTTCCAATAAAGAAGTACATGATGGCATCACTTTCCCATGTTATGCTCAGGTGATCTGCAGCCCCCATCTGCCTCTTCAGAGGTGTGCTTTTGTGCAGTCCACAGGATGCTGAACTGCATTTGATGATCCATGATGAATTTAAAAGTTGGAAGAAGTGCCCACCACCACTGGAACTGTTTCATAGATTAAGAGGACTGGTGGGTTTCAGGGAAGCAGGGACTATTATTTTTGAACTTGGAAGATATGAAACTTCTTACTGGCAGAAACTAAGCAGGTTCTTCACTCCTCTCATGTGAGAAAAAGAATATGTAAGAAGAACTAGGCAAGCGTTATCCTGTGTGTGATTACTTTTAAAGGCACTGTATTGTGACCATAATGACAAGAAGTAGTCAGCTTCCAGAAATTCAAGGGAATATCTGATCTTCCCCTATCAATATGCAATGTCTTTACATGTACTCTGGATCTTATTAGAGTATAAACTTTACAGATCATAGAGTTCATCTTATTAGCTGTTTTAACCCAAGCCAGAATCTCAACACTGTCTGATACATAACAGTGGTACAAAACACGTATTTGATGAATCAAATCTGTGGCCTCTGAAGCAATCTGCCAGGAGTTCACATCACTTAGCTATTTAAAGAGTAAATTCAGTCACTTCCAACTCAGCATTAACAACAACAATGTATTAACAACAACTGAATGTACAGTAACATCTGCTGACTTGTCAAGAGCCCAGGAAAACCAGTTGAAATCACCTGCCTGCCTTGATTATTAATTAACTATTGATGTTGTTCCAAATTTCCTGAACTCTTTAGGGCACCATTCTTATGAAAAATTAATAGTTTTAAGCAAGTTAAAATCTGGGACAGTGTTCATGTCATTCTTTTAAACTTGCACATTATTTCTACATTGTATAACCTCAATAGAGACTAAATGAAATGAATTCATTCATTTATTAGATTTATTTCTCATGACTCTTGAAATAAAAAATAAAGTCATGGCTACTGAATACAGACTGTTAACACAGACTCCAATGCCTCTTCCTGTTTCCCATCACTCCTCTGGGGTTATCTCTGCTGTTGCTACCAGCCACCAACAGAAGATTTGTTGGAACACCTTAAACAGGCTGTTAGTATCTTGTTCATGTATTAATACATGCAGAAGTGGTCACTGAGAACAGACTGGGGAATGGAGTCACAGAAGGAAATGCAAATAACAGCCTAACAGCTAGTTCCTGGAATCACACAGGTCCAGGAACTAAGGTCAGGGTGTGTCGATATTTTTGTTCTCATTTGTTCAGCTTGATTCACATGTGAAAGAGCAGGCAAAACTGATACTCTAGTTCTTCTTTTGAAGTCTTTATCTAGAAGTCAAATTTCCACATGGTCACCCAGCACATGCATAGAATTTGGTAAACTATTTTGTTTTTCAAAGTAGCTCATAGGAATCATTGAAAATGGAGAGGGTATTTTGAAATAGTTCTGCTTAAGAGTGGTGCTTAAATATGAAATACAGTAAATCACATGAGATTTCCAAACAGGTCTCACCTATGAGCTTTATAATCATGACTGCCAGCATAGGACCAGATGAGGCCATATTTGAACCATTACTATGCAAAGGTGAGAAGTAAAGTTTCTGTTTTCAGAGATTTTGGGGTCAGTGGTTTCTTAACTCAATTTTGTTTCTATGATGATGTCTGTTCTATATCAAACAAATTCTGATATAATGTCCTGATAATACAACCCCCACAACAGAGTTAACCATTCCACCATTAAACTCTCACAAGTTTTCAAAGTTCCTATGATTATAGGACTGAGTTAGTTTTCCTCAGTGAAAGTCAGTACTGAATCTTCATGATATTATTTAGCTATCGCCTAAGTTTATATTAAAATATATCAGAACATGAGTTTGGGGGCTTATAGTCCCAGTAACAATATGAGAATAAAACTGATAACTATATAAAACATGATTTCCAAAAAAATTAAACCTATACTGAAGTTATTCTGAAATATTTATTAAGACAACCAATAAGTTAGTATGGAGTACTATTCAATACCTACTCAAAAAATTGACAGTGTGCCAAGAGCTCTAAGAAAGATGAAAAGGGTCCTTTCCTCAAGGAAAAATAATCCATTGAGCAGATAAGACTAACATGAGCTGATAAACATCATAAAACAGATGACAATTGTTAACATGTATGGAATAGGCTAAAATGTTGTTAAAATTTGTGATAGAAGATAGGCAGGTGCTAGAATAATTGCAGCAGTTTTCACAAGAGATGGGTGTTTAATTTGAATATGCCAGGTAGAAGTAACTACATGGTCAAAAAGTTTAGAATCAAGTGTCAGGATGGGAATGAGGTTAAAAAAATAAACATGGAGCTTGAGGAGCTTCATTAGGGATCTGAAGGTTTTTGAAACAGGAAGAGAGAATAGTGTTCTTTTGCCTCTGGAAGGGGGCTGACATGGGATGGAGAAGTTTGTTGAATGCTGGCACTGTTCCTGAGGGCTGCCCAGCTCCTGAGGAGATGAGACCCAGATGTCAGCCTAGAACAACAGAGGAAGAAGCCAAGTTTCACTCAATGGCAGAGCCAGCTTGGAGAACCAGCTTATGCAAGTGTTTTGGGGGAACAGAATAGACCTAATATAAATCACTGAGAAGGTAGAACTTCATAGCATGTAAATCACGTGAACTTTTAGATGGAGATCAAGGTGAGCTGACCCAAAGTCTAGCAGAGATCTGGAACCTAGACAATGAAATATTTTCCTCACTCAGTGACCCATCACCAAAGCTACTTCAGGGGTGATTCTCAAAAAAGTATAGAGCAGAAGTGGTGACTGAGGGTCCACTTAATAGATAGTGGCAGACTGAAGACTTGGCAGACTGAGACATTACTGGGCCTAAAGCAGCTGCTGTATTTCAGGACTCTAGAAAACCCATTAAATGCCAGCTGCACACTATGGCAGTCCCCCGGCATATATGGAAGCTTAAATTAATTAAAAGAACATGTCACTGGGCACATGTCAAAAATCAGATGTATCATGGCTACCAGAACGAACATGGCTGATAAATAACATTTGACCATCACTGAAGTCTGAAAAATTAGGGGCTGGACTTGCCTCCTGGTGGTTGGGATCAGCTAGGCCAGTGCTAACCTCCTTGCTATTTCTGAGCATCCTTCAAACTGCAAGTTAATTGTCAATTATGAAGAGGCTTCCTGTGAACTCCAATATGCTTTCTTACTCTAATTCCATTTATTGTACTATATTGTACTGTCTGCCCTTCCACCACACGGTCTATAATTTGTGTATTTTTTCATACAGAAGGAGGAGGAGAACAAAACAAGAGGAATAACAAAAAGAAGAACAAGAATAACCTTTACTAAGCTCTTATTATATCCTAAATAGTTTAGGACATAATATGCTCTCATTTAGGTACTATTATTGCCATTTGGCAAAAAAAACAAAAACAAAAACAAGAAAACCCTGAGAATTAATGTGGTTAAATCATTTGAACAAAGTTAGACAGATGACAAATACCAGAGCTAGGAATATGTTCTTATCAATGTGTCATATTGCTCCTTACCTATCCTGAAATGTTATCAGAGCACTTGTAAACGCATGTAATGCTGAACTATCCTACTTTCAGAAAATGCTGGAGTAAATGTCAGATTAATCAGCTACTTGGACTTAATGGGATAAGTTTGGGGAGTACTGTAACTGAAGAGCACGTAGGTAAAGGGAGAGCTCACTGCAGGCATAGCGGGAGCTATCAGAAGAGGAAATAGCACATACAAGGACAGAGATAAAGAAAAGTGTGTTGAGGGGTGACACCTAGCTCAACACACAGCAACAACACTTTTGAGCTAGTCTAACTTTAAACCAGGATGTGTTCTTTTTTATTGGGAATTTCTGTGTTTGGTGATAAATAGGATGGTGATACCCATCCTATGAAATGCTAAGGAATTAACCCTCCTTTGAATTTTTAGTTCAATAATATTATGTCTTCATGAATATCTACTAATGGGACTAGAACTCCCATGAACAAAAATGCTTAACTTACCAGGTGACAAAGGCATAATTCACTCCTACAATGATAAGGGATAATGCATAATGCCAACAGAAGCATATGGTGAGAAACATAATGTTATCATGGTCTGTTGGATCCCATGCAGGACCTCCGCTGGGGGGATAAAGGACAAAACCAATCTGTAATTCAAAACAAAAGGAACATATTAAAATAACCAGTCACATTTCCAAAGACCAGTGAATGGAAATGCTTAACTCCTAGATTAAGATAAATTTCATTATCTGAGATGGCAAAGATAAGACCTTAGATTTTGCTGCTTTTCTAGCAATATATACCTGGTAGTAAGAATCTACAAAGTCATATGGGGGGGAAGGGAGGGAAGGAATTTAAGGACCTCTAAAAATCAATTTTCAAAATATGAACAATATAAACAGTAATCATCTCTGCTGGTAGGAGGACTTTCAAGGAAAGTATTGGGTTTCTAAGTTGTGCAGTTTCACTCAACAATTTCAAAATTAGTGCAAAAAAAAGTCTTCACATAAGTAAATGCCCATAACTAACTTTATATTCAAAGATGAAAAATTGAAAACTTACCCCCTAAATGAGGAATAAGACGAGTTTCTAGTGTTACCAATTCTGTTCAACATTATGCTAAAAATTCTAACCAGGTATAAGGCAAGAAAGATAAAGGGCATTTAGACCACAAATGAACACGTGAAACTATTTATATTCAAAGATGATATGATTTTATATAGAGAAAATGCTAAAGAATCCACTATAAAAACCTATCAGCTAATGAATTCAGCATACCTGCAAGATACAAAACCAACCCACATCACTCATATTTCTATACACATGCAATAAACCCCCAAAACTCAAATTAAGAAACTTCTACTAAAGTATTGAAAACGAATAAAATAATTCAGAGTAAGTCTAATCAGGGACTACAAAATGTGTATTTTTAAATATTTATTCATACAGAACTGGGTTATAAGCCAGAGGTGCAGGGGTGGTGGGAGGCTTCATCAGAGACAGACTGGGGAGCTGAACAGGGAGATGGTCGAAGTACGCTGCTGAGGGGAGCAGCGGGCGGGTCAGGAGAGGTCTGCCGCGCCATGTGGTCATCTCTGAGGCTGGGGATCAACTCGGAATTGAAGTGACTGAGGCTCACTTGCAGTGCTGAACTTTAGTCATGTAAGCCATCACAAAGGGCCACTACAAAATATTTTTGAATGAAATCAAAGATCTAAATAAAAGGAAGGCACATCATGTTCATGAATTGGATAATATTGTTATTATCCAAAGCTCCCCACAGATTCCATGTCTGCGGTCATTTTTGGTTATTTTTTCCCCCAAAATGGGTAACTAACTCTAAAATTTACGTGGAATTTTAAACCCCCAGAATAGTTAAATAAAAAAACAAAACAGAGTTATAAGGCTGAAATTTACTGATATCAAAACTATAATAATGAAAACAGTATGTTATTGGCATAATGATATTCAGTTACATAGAGCAACAGGATAGAATTGAGAGTCCAGAAAAAAGCCCATATACCAGTGATTGTTTTACAAGAGTTTCAAGACCATTCAATGGGTAAAAAATAGTCTCTTCAACAAATGGTACTGAACCAACTGGATACCCACATACAAAAGAAATAATTTGAACCTTTAATTTATATAATATAAAAAATTAACTCAAAATCGGGTCAATGACCTAAATATGAGAACTAAAACAGTAAAACTCTTAGATGAAGAGAAAAACCTTCATGTTCTGGGATTCGGTGATTTCTTACATATAATGCAAACAGCATAGTCAATCAAAGAAAGCACAGGTAAACTGTACTTCATCAAAATTTCATAATTTTGTGCATCAAAGGGCACTATGAGGAACCTAAAGGAAAACCCTCAGCATGGGGGAAAACACTTTCAAATCATATATCCGGTAAGGAATTAATATTTAGAATATACAAAGAAACCTTAAAACTCAACAAAAAAGACAAAAATATTTTTAAATGTTAATGTTGAAAAATTATCTCTCCAACGTAAGTATATAAAAGGACAATACTTATGAAATGAAGACAAATAGCTTTAGCCATTAGAGAAATGTAAATCAAAACACAATAAGATAACACTTCATACTCATTTGGAGGTGGTTGTTGTTGCTGGTAGTGGTAGTAGTATTAGCAGTAATAGTAACAGTAGAAGTTAGCAGTACTTATAATAGTGGTAGTAGCAGTGGTAGTAACAAGTGATAGTAAGGATAAAAAGAAACTAGAGTCCTTCAGTATTGCTGATAGGGAAATAAATGGTACAGTCACCATTGAAAACAATTTTATCATTTTCCAATAACTTAAATACATAATTTTCACATGACCTACCCATTCCATGCAAAACTGAAAACAAGTACTCAAATAAAAATTCATACAGAAATGTGTTATTCACAATAGGAAAAAGTTGTAGATAAAACCAAATTCTATCAAAAATAATGATAAAGCAAAATGTGGAACTACTACTCAGCCATATAAAGTAATGACATTCTATTACATACTACAACATGAATGAACTCTGAAAACATGCAAAGGGAAAGGAAGTTCAAAATAAAGTTATGTGTTCTATGATTCCATTTAGATGAAATATCCAGAACTTGCAAATTCAGAGACAGAAAACAGTAGCAGTCATCAAGGATTGAGGGGAGAGTAGGAGGCAGAATGACTGCTTAGTGGCCTAAGAAACCTTTAGTCCAGGATTTCCTCTTGGAGTGAAAATATTTTAGGACTAAATAAAGGTCATAGTTAGACACCACTGTGAATTACTAGATACCACAGAATTTCACATTTTGAAATGGCTAATTCTGTTATATGAACTTCACACCAATAAAACATAGACAGTTTGGTGGACAAATGATTGGATTAGATGGGGTGATAAATGGATGAACAGATAGACAGATGTGTGTATATATGTCAGGTCTCTAGAACTAAATGGAATTCAAAACATAATTGCATAGATAATTGTATAAATGTTTACTATATATTTGCTAACTAAGTGTCAGTGTTTAGGAGTTTTCTTTACAATGGCTTTGCAATCACATGCTCTTATCCCATTTAAACTATTATCTTCATCATTTAAATGAAAAAAGCTAGCTGCTTTAAGTAGTAACTTGGCCATGATCACATATCTAATAAATGAAATCCTATAGGAGAAAAAAAAAAAAAGCACTGGACAAAACCTTAATTTCTTTTTTGTTTGAAATGTCATATAAACCAAACAAATCAGCAAAAACTAAGGCGTGGGCCTTTAGCATTTGTTTCTATTTTCTGCTTTATAGAATTCCCTTTGGTTGAAAGAAAACTGCCATTTGCACACCTAGTAGATGTGCCATATGGTGGGCATTTAAACCTCACTCATGATGTCCCAGTAATGCCCAGTCTTGGCAACAATGCCAAGAATATATAATCATCTCCACATTATAAAGCATAAAACTGGTACTCAAGAGACTTTAGTCTTTTCTCCACATCACTAAACAGCTGAATGGCTGTCACAAAGTTCCAAATCTGGAGGGTCTGGCTCCAAAAATTCTATAGATTATTTCTTCTTCTCCACACTCCATTGTGGTACTCTCCTATCCTGAAGACAGACTAGTCACCCTTGAGCCACATCTAATTCAGACACGCTCTATCTAGCCTGCACGTTTCTTGCTTGTTTTGTCTGTTTTTTTGTTTGTTTTTGTTTTTTTAAGATTTATTTATGCATACAGAGCTGGGTACAGGCCAGACGTGCATGGGCGGTGAGAGGATTCACCAGAGACAGAGTGGGGAGCAGAACAGGCAGATCAACGAAGTACACTGCTGAGAGGGGCAGCGGGCGGGTCAGGAGAGGTCTGCCACACCATGTGGGTCACCTCCGGGGTCGGGGATCGAACTCCTACTGAGGTGGCTGGGGCTTGCTTGCAGTGCTGTGTCCTTACCCATTGCACCACAAGGGAGGGCCCTGTTGTTGATTTTTAATGATTTAAATTCATTTCCAACATTTAAAAGGTTATGTGACAGAGCCCCTGCCTCATCACCATTGCTCTCCAATGCCAGCGCCACGGAGCTCCAGACAAAGAAGGGGGTTATGTAAGGTCAACAGATAGATTGTAAAGCACCAAGGAAGCACTGGCTACAAAAGCCATTCGAAATCGTGCTCCCTCCACTGGGCAGGTGAAGAACATTTACCGTTACAAGCGTTTCCTCAGGGCGGCAAGTTTCCTCAGTGTTTTCAAGGTATAATGCTTAAGTTTTACAACATTATCATAATACATTGTGTTTCTATTTTATAACTGTAGACATTAAAAGGCACAGAATATCTAATCTATAGTCATATGATTAATATGGCAGAACTAGAACTCAAATCCAGATCTGCCTGATCTGGAAGTTCATGGGTTCTCACAACATGCCACAGTCACAAATGTCTTTTGGAGCATCCAAAATAAAACTTCTTAAATCACTTCCACCAATTATCAGTTTTACCTATCAAAGTGTTCACTGATCTATATCAAAGAGTTGAGCATCTCACTGGGGTCTTCGCAACCTGATACTGAAAGCTTAAAACTTGACTGAAGCCATCTGTGAAGCATATAAAGGGTCCATCAATGCGATTAGACTGGAAGCCATAGTGACTCTGCATATCATTTCAATGGCAAGTAAATTAGGAAAGCTGAAAACAAAAGAGCAGGAAATGCCAGAACTCATTAAGTCTTTCTTTAAACATAAAAATACACCATGACTCTTTTAGCTACTATCCTCATTGCTACCATGTAAAACTCAAAGAAATAAGGACTTGGATAAAAGAATTTTTCTTGCTATATCTTGTAGGCCACTCCTGAATATTTATCTTTAATTAGGTTAAGCTTCTTTCCTATTACATTTGAAATGTAAATTATAATCTCTTCTAATAGGAAATAAGCCAGGGGCACTTTTCTCATAGGTTTGAGTTTTAATTTTTTAGGGTTTTATAACTCATTCCCTGATCACTTACTTCATAACTATAAGACTAACAAGTATTTGACCTCCCATGTCAGAGCTTGAACCACAACTGTTGAGGTGTTTTTTTTTTAATCCATTTTAGAATGAACTTTTGTCTTTCTTCAAGGCAAGACAAGACTCCACTTCAATCTGGCCTCAGGGAACTGGCAGTCCCCAGGGCGACAGTGGAGCTGGGAGGTGTGGCAGAAGCAAAAGTCCCTGAGAAATAAAGACCAGGCGCAATTTCCTCCCTCAGCTTGTCTCTGTCTTGTTTCTGACAATGAAGGGAGGGAGCTTGGGATTACAAAGTACACAAGTAAACGTTAGTTCTCCCAGGGAAAATATGAATCATGGGAATAAATGGGCTTGACACATTCTTTTTCTTTTTTAATTTGTGTAATATCATTGATGGCAACTTGGTTCAGGAAAGAAATTATTTTTATAGGTTAGGAGGGGAAGTCCCAAACCTAAGTTTACCTATTACCCAATCATTTATATGAGTTATAAAAGTGTGACCAAGCTCTACAATGACGTAAGAAAAATATTTTAACTCATTAATAAAATATAACATGTCCAATCTGAGTATTTGCCTCATTCAATTCACATTTCCATACTTCAGGTTTCAAGAGTCTAGATGTGCACTTTCTCTGCTGTCTCTCTATTATTTACCTACTAGGATTTAGTAATAGAAAAGTAGTAAGAAAAACAATACATGGTGAAAAGCAAATCACAATGTAATATTATTAGTTTAATGCAATTTTTACCATAAGCATTAATATGCCACACATAGCAAGAGAGGGTGAAAGTATAAAAAAATACACCTAAATCTCTAGCTATTCTTATTTCAGAGGAATCTGAACTTCATTAACTGTCTCTGTGTGTGTAACATTGGTATTAAATGCTCATTTTTCTTTAAGACTCCAGAGGTTATTGAGTCTGACTACCAGATTTAAAAAAAAAAAAAACAAAAACAAAAAACTAGTCGAGACTTATTGATAGATGGAGAAAATTTTTATAATTAACCTCATAACTTTTCCTTAGAAAAAGTTTTGTGGAAATATGAAAACATTGCTAAGACAATAAAACCAAACTATTCTCAGTTATCACAAACCCCACAGCTTCCTCCCTCAGATGCTAAATCAGTAATTCTTAAGGGAACACTAGTTTGATTAACTGTGCACTTATCTTTATTATTCTTTTTTCGTTTCTTGGGCTTTCCCTTTTGTGCCTATTTTCTAACCCCTATTTGATTATTTAATTCTTTAATGAACTTGATATACTAAACAGATATAGAACCCAACAAAAATAGGATGCACTTTATTTTCAAATATTTGGAACACTTACTACCATTGGCTTTGGGCTATGTCCCAAAAGAAGTCTCAATACATTTCAAAGAAAACACATTGACTACAATGCAATTAAATTAGAAATGAATGATAAGATTATCTTTGGAAACTTAAACTGTACTGCTAGATGACTCATAAAGAGAAAAGACAAAGGAAAATGCAACATTCAAAATTACCCAAGAGTAAGAACTTACAACAAATTTTACGGAGGGTAGTTGTAGTAATGTATAGAGGGAAATCTATAGCCATAAGTGTACATTTATTTAAAAACAGGAAAGATGGAAAATAAATGAGATCAGCAGTCATCTCAAATATATAGAAAAGTGAATTAGTAATCTCATAATTTTCAAGCATAAACAATGAGAAATTGACAAATCCAGGACTATACGTTTCAAGAGACAGATCTCTAACAAAAAGAAAGAAGTCTATCAATTAGGAATTTAAAATATATAAACAACACAATGGGAGAGCTCCAAGAGCCTGGCTTCATTCCTCAGTTTGACAGGAGTCCTTTCACTTCCCTCTTGTTCTACTGAACACGATCACTGTCTGCTGTGGACCTGCAGCCGGAGGTCTGCAGTTCTGCTTTATTTCTGGTGTGCAGTTTATTCAATGTCTGACACTGATGCTTCTCTCCCCTGCACCTATCCATGTTTTCCTATCATTCCTCATGTAAAATGCAAATTTTTAAAAGAGCCTCACCGCCCCAAATCTCTGCTCTCTGTTACCTAAAATCTAAGTATTCCCTGGTTAAGCCACATTCACATGTCATCCCAGACTTTATTTACATCCTCAGACAGCTACTAGTCTATGAACTATCGGTCTCCATAAAATATATGCTCACTGATTGGAAATCATGTTTTCAACAACACATCAAAGTTAGGGAATTGACAGAATACACTGAAAAAGGCTTGGGATTTGCGATCAGGCAGACCCACATTTTGATCCTACTTTCATTATTGTGTGATGCTGGGACAGTAGCTTGGTCTCTCTGAGTCTCTGTATGTGCCTTATCAGTAAATTGGGAAAGATAACTACTAAAACCATTGTTATGAAAAAATGAAACATGTATGTAAAAGTCCTAAATAGTGGCCAGAACATGGTTATTTCTCAAAAAAGTTACAATTTCCTCCTTTTATTTCTTATAAATCTGTAAATGGTTTTATGATCAAGAACTGCTTTCAATTAAAAGCACCTATCCGACCTAACGGATACTCAGATGAAAAGCAAAGAGTGCATGCCCTACTCCCTTTCCTGGGTGCTGCCATGCTCACCCAGCTGCCAGACCACTCAAAAAAAACATCACCTGTAAAGGCCATAATCTCACTACAGGTAGAACATCAGAATGAAGTCTTTGGGTTCAAGAGTAAAATCCTCCACCAAGCAAAGAGAGGAAGTTAAAAGTGATGACACCAAGTACATTAATGGGACACCCCCAACTCACCTGCCAGAACCAGTTCCCCTGAAGCAGGATAAGGGTTGATCGCAGAAGCTCCAGAATTACATTGTTCCGTATTAAGAACTCCATGAAAGCTACTATTCCTGTTAGGAAGATGACCAAGACCAGCAGCTGGTGCACAAAAATGTCCAACATTTCCCGGCCATGAGTATGGTTGTAGAAGATAAAGGCTGATAGAGGGAGGAAAACAGTAAATTTGCCTTTTTCAAAGAAACCAAGGGCCTTGATGTCTCTGTCTCTCTCTCCAAAATGAGACATACCTTTCTCATCAGGAATGCAATCCACTGGTAAAAGCAAACATATACACAAATCCAAACAGTAGACTCTGATGGTATGATAAGACCTTCTGGAAGCACCCAAGAAGTAGTAAATAATTACCTATTTTAATCCCATGCACAGATTTCAGTTTCATTTTTATCCTTTCTATTCAGATGAGGAGGAAAATATGGTCATTCAAAATTATTAAAACACCTGAGATAATGAGAATCATGTTGTTGGCTTTTATCTAGCCCTTATTTTCTAAAAGGTTGACAAAAGTTCTCATCTTCCAATGTGGGAGTTTAGGTAGACAGTTAGGAAATGACTACCTCTTGGTAATTAGATGTTTTCTGAGTTCCATAATCAATCTGTTCCTTATATGTGCAATAAATGAAACAATCATTAAAAACCTGTTTTCTAGATCATGCTTAGTGAGATAAGCCAGAAAGAGAAAGAAAAATATCGGATGGTTTCACTCATAGCAGGAGTATAATGCACCAGGCAAGAAAATAACAAAAATAATGAACAGCCATATACCAGAGACATTTTGTGGGGGTGGAGTGGGGAATGGGATGGAAGACGGGGGCGGGGAAGGGAAATGCACGGGATTATGGTGATGGTACACGGGTGACTTGGTGATGGGAAACCCGCGAGGATTACAATTGAGATGGAAAAAAAATGTACAAAATGATGTAAAAAAAACTGTTATAAAAAAATAAAAGTAAAATAAAATAAAATAAAATAAACCTGTTTTCTGGGTTTCCCTGTAGAGTAACAAGGAGAATAACTAAACAGAAAAATGTTTTTCATTCATGTATCAAAGACAGAACTACATATATATGTATTTGTTTTAATTTTTTGGACTCTACTAATCATACAATAGTGGGGTTTTATTACATCAATATGAAAAAGGCTATTAGTAGGTGGTAGAAGCCAGTCTGCTATGAATTGTCTCCTAGTTTCAGGATATTCATGAATCAATGCTCCGATCTCAGACTCACTTGTTAAAAATGGAAACAATGCTAATTTCCAGGCTAAACTTGGTGCAGAAAAAAACATAGCAGGTGGTTCTTTAAGGCAGATGTGAAATGGGAATAAAGCACATTTGATTTTGCTTCTGCTGCTCAGGTCACCATGACCCAAATACATGGCCCTATCAATTAAGACTGTACCTAGGACACCAAAGAAATATTATTTAAATATCTAATAAAAGTGAAAGGTGCAGGAGAAAACTCACTTATACTTACCCTCCACAAATAAGGCATTTGATAATGTTAACTTGATTAAGGAGCTAGGAAGTGCACTTATGGTGAAACATAAGATGTTTGCCACACCCAGCAGCCCAAAGAAGAAATACATGGTGAAATGGTGCCAGCCCAAGAGTTGAACCCACTGGCCCTCTTTATAGTCATATAAGGTCAGATGAGGCCCTCCGGTAATAAACTGTTCTCCAAGCATGCCTGTAGAGAGACAGAGCACAGATTTAGCAAGCCTCATGCCAAGTACGCAGAAAGATACAAGAAGATCAGCCACTACTTAACCCATCTACTGTCATTTTATGACACTCATCTTCCCTCTGGCTGTACTCTTAACAGCTAAGCACTGGAACTTTAGGCTTGTTTTAAAGTTTCAAATATTGGTTTGAATAATCGCTTTTTGTCAAAAGTCAACAATGTTGTCAAATAACTACTTCAGATCTTCAAAGCAGATGATCTCAGTTCTGTTAAGTTCTATAATCAGTTTCATTGATGAATTTAGTTCCAGTTTCAATCTAATGACTCGATAAAACCTCAGTGATTTGGGGTTTGGATTTGGAAGATAAGTCAGATAGACACTGATTACTTGCTTCTTATATTTCACACTCATGTACTATGCTGGCTACCATGAAGGAAGGAGTTGTGCTTGGTTCAGGATAAAATTGCTGAAGTTCAACTTTTCCCCAACCAAAGATACTAAAAAGATACTAAAAAGCACAGTTAAATACAGCATATGGTTACTCAGTTACACAAACAGTTAAACCTTTCTTAAATACGCTGGTTTTTTTTTCTTTAACATAGAAATCCTCTCTTTGAAAATTACTCTGTAATTAGATGGCCATAGAAAAAACCTATTGCCGTGAATAAATCATGAAGAAATTCAAGAGGAATTAGGAAATTTTGCCTTTCATGTAGGGGTACTCTACAATTTATATCATTTTCACAGAATCCTCACCATCAATAGAAAATCCGTAGCTGACATCTAACCTAACCACTGACAGTCACACAAGAAGGAAGCGTGCATGAATGAAGTTCTTCTTTACCCCGGAGGCGTCTGTACACCTATCCGTGATGTTTTATTAATGTATTTTTTCCATAATCACATGATAATTTTGACATAATTCTGAAAAGTAGTTTCTGACAGAATTTATTTGTTCAAGCATCAAAATAATTGATATAAAATTATTTCTATAAAGAAAATTCACCTTGAGTGGGCAGGTAAGTTCAGTACCATGACTAATTCACTAAGGAAAAAGCCTTTGAACAAGCAGCAAATACAGCCTTCTAAAAACTGTCAGATAGGACTTATAGGTAGAGTAAGTGAAGGAAGATATTTCTTAATAAAAATTTCACTTTAGGGTAAGAGTAGACAAAAAGGGTGAAGGTGGTCAAATGAACGAGACCAAGTTTAAAACTTCCAGCTATAAAATAAATAAGTTCTGGGGATATATACTACACTCTACTGTATAGTTATACTCTATTGTGTAATTAATAACACTCTATTGTATATTCACAACTTTCTAAAAGAACAAATTAGAAGTTCTTGTCACAAGAAAACAAAACTGGAACTATCTGTGGTAACTGATGTTAGCTAGACTAATTATTGCAATCATTTTCTTACACAGTATCAAAGCATCATGTTGTAGCTGAAACTATTTCAATGTTTTCTGTCAATTGAATAAAAATTTTCACTTCAGGAAGTCTTGATTTGCTACTGAACCTTTTCTCTGCATTAGAAAATACCTAAGAAGAGAAAACAGGACATAGAAATGGAACACTCACCAGTTACAGCCATGACAATTTCTACGATTCCCTCCAAAATTTCTATTCGCTGGAATAGTGCTTTGGAACCAAGGTAGGAAGTCCGTTTGTACTTTTTGCAGGCATATTTCAGAATAGTCTTTGTGCTCCACCAAATACCCATGATAAAGAAGAAGGTCCCAGGCAGTGCATGACCTTTGAAACTCCCCATGTCTACCAAGACAAGAATAGAAGATACAAGGTATTTAATTTCCAAAATTTAGCCAAAACATCACTTGTTCATAAAGTACCTATCTTATGATGATTATGGATACACCTCTGATTGAGAAGATCAAACTACAATATCAATAATAACAAGGAAATTTTGCACCCATTAAGCACTTGCCTTGTAGTAGCAAAGGTGTCAAGTGCCTTGTAGGCAACCTATGACATAATTTTTACAATATACCCTTGAGTGGGGAATTATACTATTTTACATTGGTATACAAGTTTAGATAAGTTAAATGACTTTTCCAAATTTAACAATTATTAAGCTAAAGTTTGTTTTTAATCAGGAGCTCAAAAGAATTTTTTAAAATTACAGTACATATTCCACCATATAGTTACACTTAGGCATATTTGAAGAAAAGTAAAATGAACCCAAATTACCTTTGGGTTTAAAATTTGAAATAAGAAATTACCTATGTCTTCTTTTCCAAGAACATAATTTCAAAGTATCAAGTATCCAGTGTGGAAGAGACCATTAATGCTCACCAAATATCTGTGCTCTCCCCCATACACTTTTCCCTGCTTCTCTTCTAGGTGAATCAGAACCATGTTTCTAGCTTCAGCCAATGGATAGTGGCATTTGTCATTTTCAGGCTGAGTCATTTAAGCGCCTACATGAATGACTCCTTTAACCCTCCATCCACTCTCCACATTGCCATCTTTATATACCATATCGACAGCATAGAACATGCAACCAGCCTCCTTCAGATTTGCAAGAGATAAATGCTCATTGAATTAAGATATTGAAACTTTGGAGTTTAATGGATAAATACACCCTATCCAGAGGGATACCAAGCCAAGTCAAATTGTAAGTTCTGTTCATGCATACATGACGGAGTAATAAGAAAGACAAATATTCTCCATTTTTGGTAAGTGTATTGAAAACTAGTCTTGAATTGTGTGTTGAATTCTGTGCGCAGCCCTTAGTGCAAAAATATTGTTCTAGCAATGGAGTAATGGAGATTTCAGAATCATCTTTGAGGATCTGACAGTAGGCAAGATGCAAGAGTATTCATGAAACAGAATTCACAAGTTTCCCCCAAACCCAACAGAATTCTTTATCTCCCTAGGTGAATACTGAGCCTCTCCTTTGGGACACAGTCTTTTGGGTTACTATCACATTCCAAAGACACAACTGTGAAGCTTCAAGGGGAAACTGAAACAGAGTCAAACACTAAGTCTCTCAAATCTCCAGATGTAATCCCATGTGCCCCTGAATCCTCCAAAACATTCAAGATTCTGGTCAAGTATATTACATAGTGCTAAGTGTGGTTGTTATCCTGATTCAGACTCTTATCCTAGTTCTCACTCTACCACCATACTGGTATGCTTTGGACATTAATTGAGAGGCCTCTCTGAGTGATGGCCTAAATGATACTTGGATTATCTTCTACTCCAGATGTTACTCTATCATCATGTGATAATTATCTTAATTTTTATCATAGTGTTACTGAGTTGTCCTTTTTGTCTTGACTTAATCAACCATATGAAATGAAAAAGTATATCCAGATTATAAATTCATTGACCTTTTCTGGAATTCAATATGTTTTAAGGCTCCATGAATGTTTTATATTTCTTGATATAGGAAATCCACTACAGAAATCTACCCTAAATACATAACTAGAAATATAGGCACCAATTAAAAGCAATATATATGTCTAAAATCAGGAAAATTATTAAATGTCGCAGTTGTTAAAAAAAAAACAGCTTTTAGGGCCCTCCCTGGTAGCGCAGTGGATTAAAGCACAGCACTAAGAAGCTAAAGCCACTTCAGCATGAGTTCAATCCCCGCCCCAGAGATAATCCCACATGGTGCAGCAGACCTCTCCTGACCAATTCGCTGCTCCCCTCAGCAGTGTACTTCGTTAATCAGCCTGTTCTGCTCCCCACTCTGTCTTTGGTGAAGCCTCTCACCACCCCTGCACCTCTGGCCTGTACCCCAGTTCTGTATGCATAAATAAATAAATCTTTTTTAAAAATACAGTCTTTAAATAACTTAAATTATAAAGCATATATAAAGCATAAATAAATTATAAAGCATATATATTATAAAGCATATATGGGACTTTTCAAAAAACTCAGACTATGGCTTTATATTGATGAGATCTGAATCCCAAATTTATCATTTACAAACTACATGATTTTAAGTTATTAAACCTCTCAGTGCCTCAATTTCCTCTTCTGTCAAATGGAGCAAAAAATAGTACCTACCTTATAAAATTAAAAAGTTATTCCAAATACCCCCAATACTATTAAGCAACTTCATGCTATTCTCGACCTACCTGAAAGTACCAAAGTAAAGCAGAAATAAAATTAGATAAGACACTAACTGTATATAAGCAGGAATTATCTGTACAATTCACTTGACGACCAATCAATAGCACTTCTACAGTTGTCTTAGAGGCTGACAGGAACTGTGTGGTGTGTGTGTATTAATTCTTAACTGTAATTAGAGAATAAGCTCTGGAAAGCAGGAACCATGAATCTATTTTTTCTATTTCCTACTGGGCCAAGATAACAGCATTACATAGTTGAGATTCTTTTTTTTAAAGATTTATTTAGGGCCCCCCCGGGGGCTCATCTGGTTAAAGCAAAGCACTATGAAGCTACTGCAGCCACTGCATCACAAATTCAATCCCTGGCCAGAGGAGTGACCCACACGGCGAGTGACCTCTCCGGACCCACCCACTGCTCTCCTCAGCAGTGTATTTCAGTACATCTGCCTGTTCTGCTCCCCACTCTGTTTCAGGTGAATCCTCTCACCACCCCTGCACCTCTGGCATGTACCCCAGTTCTGTATGCATAAATAAATAAATATATCTTTTTTTTAAAAGATTTTTGAGGTACAGGGGTGGTGAGAGGATGGGATGGGAGCTCAGGATGACAAGTAAACCATCCCATCTGTTTGATTGCCAGTGAGTATCATGCCTTCGTGAGATTCCTGTACATAAGAAATTAATTTTGCTCCCTATTAATCTAGATTGTGTCATTTTAATTATTAGACGGACCAATAAACCTAGAAGGGAAGAAGAAAAAAAATATTCTGTCCTATACCATATTCACCTAAAGTACCAAACAGATCCAACTGTTCCTGGTATTGAAAATGACATTCATTTTACTACATTTTCATTATAGGGAGAGAAAACTGCCCAAATTCCGTCACTCCACTCTTATCTCCCAGAACACCATTATGTTGTTTCTTTTAACATAGAAATAGAGTTTTATTGCACCATTATTTGAAATTTTGTCCTATACATACATTGTCTTAATATTCCCCATAACCCTTGCAAGGTAGGCCCCTACCATCCTAATGCAAAAATGAAGAAAATAAGATCAGAGAGCAAATGACTTGCCCAAGGTCACAGAATAAGTAATTGACTGAACTGTGACTTAAACGCAAGCTTTTCTGGTTTCAAACCAGAGCAGCTATCAGTCCAGCCAAGTTGTCTCCAAAACTAGATACTGGATACATAATGGTATACCCTGCTTTGCAGGTTAGCTGACAAACCCAACCTCAACGTTGTATTTCCTTTTTTTATGCTGAACATCTTTTTCAAATAATTACATTTATTTATTAATTTTCTTACATCCTTATTCATTTTTGGACAGTGTTTGATTTTTCCCCTCGGTTGTAGTCCCCACATTTCCCATCACCACGGCATCTATGAACCATCACCATAGTCCCTTCTGATCTTCCCTCCCGTCTTCATGCCTTTTCCTCCCCCTCCCGGGCTCAATGCTTCAGACCTATGGTGAATGGCAAGTTTTGTCTTTTTCCTGACCCTTTTAGAACACCATTATTCATTAATCTGCCTTTTGTTCCCTGCTTTGCTATTATTGCCTGCAGGTGCAATTTATTGCCAAGTAGCCCAAACTCAAAAGAGCTCAATCCAAAATGCAGACACAATCCACTGGATGCACAAAGGGCTTCCTCATCCACAAAGTAAAACATACTTGCCTAACAGCCAACAGAACCCTCAGGAGAAATCACCAGGATAGGAAACAAGAAGTTCCTTCTTCAACATCCTCCCTGCCTGACCTCACCACAATTATAATCTTGAGGGGAAAGTGGTTGTTCACCCAACCCTAAAAGAGTGAGCTACAAGATTCAATCACTATTAAGATCCATACTTCTCTCTCGTCTAAAAACAAAAACAAAAAATCCCTGTTGTTCCTATTGACACCAAGCATCATCACCCTTTTGGTTAAGAACAAGAAACAGGCCGGCCCTCCCTGGTGGTGCAGCGGGTTAAAGCACAGCACTAAGAAGCTAAAGCCACTTCCGCGTGAGTTCGATTCCCACCTGCCCCGGAGGTGACCACATGGCGTGGCAGACCTCTCCTGACCCGACCGCTGCTCCCCTCAGCAGTGTAGTTCGTCCATCTGCCTGTTCTGCTCCCCTCTCTGTCTATAGTGAAGACTCTTGCCGCCCCTGAGCCTCTGGCCTGTGCCCCAGTTCTGTATGCACAAATAAATAAATCTTTAAAAAAAAAGAACAAGAAATAGACCTGACACTCTTGTTGGCCCTATTTTCTGAGCACCTTCAACAAACACCATCCCCAAAGAATTCTTTTTTTTTTTGAAACATTTATTTATTTATGCTTACAGAACCGGGTGCCAGAGGTACAGGGGCAGTGAGAGGATTCACCACAGACAGAGTGGGGAGCAGAACAGGCAGATCAACAAGGTACACTGCTGAGGGGGGCCAGTGGGCAAGACAGGAGAGGTCTGCCACGCCATGTGGATCACCTCTGGGGCAGGGGATCAAAGTCGCACTGAAGCTGCTTCAGGTAGCTCACAGTGCTGTATCCTAACCCGTTGTGCCCAGGGAGGGTCCCCAAAAGAAGAATTCTATTTAAATGTCAGATAACATTGGGCAAATCCCAAGATCTAAATCAGGGGTTAGGTGCTAATTCCCAGTGTTAACGTTACAGAAACCACACACC